TTGTCTTAATACTTGCACTGCTTCTGACTAAAGGAATAATTGTGGCAAATTCTAAGCAATGCTGCCAAGTATGTAATTTGGAACACATTTAAAGTGGTTATAGTCTTGGCTGGTTGTATTGCTAGTTATCTGCTTTATCTATGAAAGACAGTGTCTATAAAACTTAAGTCTGAGTTTTGCCAGGCCTTATTGGGAAAGGTAGTTTAAATACAGACTGATGCTTTTTCCATAAACTTGGTAGCTTCTCATACAGTAGATACATAAAATGAAGGCACTTGAGGACACCTTGTGATCCAACAGACAAAACCTTTTGCTTAATGCAATGGCTTTACTATTAGATGGATCCAGACTGGCACAGCATGGTGCTGGTTTGTATGTGGATGCATCTCAAGGAATTGTAGGCCTACCAGGGGATGCCAGCTTGGCAGTGAGATAAGACTGTTTTCATATTTGATGGGACCTACGACACTACAAAAACACGTCTGCACTTGAAGTATCTACTATCTGTTTGAGACTTGCTTATCTTGCCTGCAAGGCTTAAAGCTAATTAATGTAAAGTGTTTTGCATTTAAAACAGGGCTTGTCAGCCCTGTAGAGCCAAGTTAGAATGTTGCTAGCATGGACGACTGATTGCCATTGTTACACAGTGAACAGGCCCCAACCACATTAGAACAGTGTAATATAACAAGTCTTGAGCTGGTTCTGAGATCAGTTAAGTTCCAGCTTGGTTCCAAGACCAGTTAAGTCACATTCAAACACCAAGCTGGTGACCAAAGCTGTTGTCAGTGTTGGTGATACACAGGTTCCCATGCTTGTTGCTTTTGTGTTGTGCTTGAGCAAGACAAGCTCAATCTGCCTCAACAGCACTTGTGCACTGACTTGGTTGTGATTGAGCAGGGGTAGATAATGAGAATCCTGCTGCATTTTGCCACATCTTCCATGTAGTTGATGCTGTGCCTCAGGAAAGTGGCTGCTTATATACATCTGTGAAATGCAAAGTCAAATTTATGAGGCAGGAGAAATAGTCCTTCTATTCTTTATAAAAACAAAAGCAAGCTAGAGCTTGTGCCTGTACAAGAAAAGTCCTTTTTCATTCCATAGTGAAATGTTAGTAACTCCTGCTTTGAAAGGCTTTGCTGCTATTTTGACTGTTTACTCCTGTGTTTGTGAATTGCACAGTGTGTTAGGTTGGTAACTCCCGTGTCCTGGTAGAGTAGGCAGTGCCACCCCTCACACAGTGTGAGGAGCAGAATGCTGGTTCTCATATATTCAAGTTCTCTTTGAGTGGTTTGGGGTGGTTTTGGTTTTGTTTTTAACATAACTGAACTGCTAAAGCAACAGAGTTGGCTGTAGAGCAAGTACCAGGCAGGTGGAAAGGCCTAGCCCATTAACACTTTTTCTTTAAACATTTTCCTTTTGTAATGTTCTAATTCATGGACACAGTATATGGACACAAAAATACTTATTTTTATCTTAACATGTGGGAAAGCTTTGAGGATTTTTGTAGTAGAACTCTGCCAAGTTCTGCATTTAACTTCCTGAGGCTAGGTTGACTTGTCTGTTCTTCCAACTTACATCTTCCTTGGAAACAATCAAATTCCTAATATATGTATTCTGTGAGAGCTTTTTCTGGTAGCTCTGTGTTCTGGAACAGCTATCTTGATTGATCAGATCCTAGTGCCCTCCTTGCAACAGGAGGTAGAATTGGAGTTTGTAGGAGCATTAGTCTTTAAGTAGAGAAGTTGTCTTCTGATTCCCTGCTCTGGCTCCTGCTTGTGTCTCAGCACTGCACTCAGTCTCCATCACCATCACTTCTCACAGGTGGGTTTGCTGTAAACCTGTAATGATTTCCCTTTCCTGTTGCCTTAATCCTTTTTCTCCTCTGCCAATTCTTATTTTGTCTGTCTTTCTTAATTTTCAAAATGTCTTTTGATTCTTTTGTTCCTTTCACCCCTATTTTACTCTTTTGTAATCTGAGACCTGGGGAATAAGATTTTCTTCTTCTAGATCTTGGAGAAACTCCTGCTACCCAGACAAGGATTGCAGTAGTTTTGTCTTCAAATGTTAATTCCAGACTATATGCACAAGACTTGAGATGCCTCTGTTATCAGTTCCTCAAAGCCATACATTAAATAAAACATGCATCTGATCAATTTAACCTGTAATTAAGTATTTGCTGTAAGTAACTGACATTTTGATAACTAATAATTATCATGTGTAGCACCTTTAAAGAATATTATACATGTTTATGTAAGGACACTATTACCATAATAATAAGATATCATTACTGCAAATGTGCATACTGAATGAGCGTGTCTTCAAGTAATCATGTGATTCCATTAATCGTACTTGAAAATTAAAGTATTTGCTGTCTAATTTCTTAAACACTAATCAAAAGATTTTGGAAATAGCAGGACCTGTTTACTACAAGTCTCCAAAACATATCTCATTTCATTTTTGTTTCCTAAATTGTTGCTTATCTTTCAGCTAGGGAAATCATTAGATCAGAGACTCAAGTCTCCCACTGAAAGCATTTCCATGCTCTGATTTTTATGCTGTTTGCCTCATTTTTTTTGTCCAGGGAGTGCTGCCACCTTTTCTTAAGGCTGATGTGAAATGCACTCCTGAACTCACTTCTTGAAATTAGATAATTGACCCAAAAAAGATGGACTGACAGCTAATTGTAATTCTGTTAGTCCCTTGCATAGGAGGAGAAAAAAACCAAACGTGTTCTTTAAGGGCTCATTTTTTTTTCTTTAGAAGATTGGAAAGTTGAGGGTAGAGTATTCTGCTTTATGTGTAAATTTGTTAGGAGTGTGACAACTTGAGTTTGTTTCTTGTATTGAAATGTTGAGCTTTGTGGATGGTTCATACTTGATAACCAGAGTGAAAGTTGGGAGGAAACATTTAGCCTACTAAGAACTCTTGAGTAACTGAAAAGAGACTTTTTCATGTTGTTTGCATCCAGTAAGTGCAACTGAGGTAGCTGGAGCTGAAGATGTATCACCAGAGGAAATCGTTGTGCCTACAGTTAGTTGCTCATGGCTGTCAATAAACTTAAAAAGGAACTACATATAAAACGGGTAAAATGCAGTACTTTCTGTCAGAATGGACATTGAGCTTTTGGAGCTTGTTGCATTCTTTTGGACAGTCAGGAAAAAGGATTGTACCCTCATGTCATTAGCAACTCGGTATTACTGACCACTCTTAGAGGGGAAGGGGCACATGCACACATGTATAGAGTTAGAAGGAAGGAAAGAGACTGTTTAAAAAGCAAAGCAAAATGCTTTTTTTTCAAGGGATATAAACTCCTATGACTCAGGGTGTAAACCAGCTTCTCACCAATATGTTCAGGAAACAGATTCCCCTGCAAGCCAGTTGTTCTGCTACCACCTGCCTGCAAGGCTTCATGAGCCTTGCTATGTATCACTTGGCTTCTTTCTCTTTCTTTTTACTTACAGAGCAGGGAGAATGTTTTCTTTGTTCCAAATTAGGCTGGCAATGCCTCAAATCTTCCATAACTTTTCAGGAAAAGTTCAAGTTCTTAACAAAGAATAAAATGAAAATATATCACCCAAAAGAATAAATTAGAATAGTGTTAAGTAAGCAGCTTTTAAAAATTGAATACTGGTGTTTATATTGGAGACTGCTGGGATACTGTTGTGATGTAATGCTCAGCTTTAGATTTTAAAATCCTAGAAATATAAACTATTCTCTTCTTGCTTCAGTTACTTCTGGGAAACACTTATTTCTTAGTTTTTGATTCTGTGGGTTGAACTAAAGTAGTTTAGTATGTTTTATTCCAAGTTCAGCTTTTAAATTTTGCACTGTCTGTGTAAACTGGGTAAGAAACTGCCCTGAGTTTCCCTTCCCCCACTTTTAAATACAATTCCTTTAGGAGAAAAAAAAAAATTGAAGCATCTATGTTATACTGAGTAATTATGCCCCCTGGGAAATAGAATATAAAGATCTTTAAAATCATTCAACTGAGAGAACAAGCACTTTAACTTTTGCCTTGCAGGAGTCATGTATTACATTATCAGCTACTTGCTCCAGTGTCAGTGTGTCATGCCTTGCAGGTTAACAGGTTTGGCAGAGGAAATGAAACCCAGTCAGTTACTGCAGGATTTATAGTAGACCTGCTGTTGCAGGAAGTGGTGAAAAGTTGATTGATAGTCTGAGGCAAAACTCTGCAACAAGAAACAGGATGTATGTTTGTTATTTTAGACCCGTTTTCCCCTCTGCCCCTGCCCCCCTCCATTTCAAGGCACTCTTACTTTTTGTTCTCTCTATTTATAAAACCATGATGCATTTTCTAGTGAAGCATGTGCTCACTTCAAAACACTTCAGGAAATGGATGTGGCTCTACCAAAGATTTGAAGCTGAGTTAGCTTGTGCTTTATTATGTTTATCTAAATGGTCCTGATGTTTTTGTTGAATTATATTTCAGCAGAGTTACAAGTGAAAAGTAAAGCACAATTACTGACAGTGTTGAGCATCTTCTGCTATCATGTGGGCTAAACACTAGCTGGGAAAGAAGGAGAATGTATTGCTGTGATGGGCCTGATCACCTGTGCTCTATCAGTTCTTCTGCATTTAAGACATATCTTGAATGGTAGTGGAACAAAATTTTGCTGTCTGTAAACTTAATCCAGCAACTCACACTGCAGAGTTCACTGCTAAAGACATAAAACCCAGAAAGGTTTGTTCTGAAATCTGTCTTCCCTTCTGTGCACTGCTGAAACAGCATAGAAGTGGTGTCTTTTCAGAAAGTGTCACTCAAGACTTTGAGTGGGATATTGTCTAGCTTTTGGGGAGAAGTTACCCAAAAAAGTAGTAATTGTTAGCACTTTGAATTTTTTTCCCTGTATTGTCTACTTCTGCAGTCATAATTGAAGAAGAAAGTTGTTTGCAAACTAAGTGAATAGCAGAAATACTTAAGATTTGTGTTCCCGTTATCATATGTAAAGTTAAATAATGGATCTTTTCCTTTGTTAAAGGTCCAAGAAATTGGCTGCGCTCTCAGAATCCTTGCAGAAAACCATGCTCACCAAGTCTCACTTAGGATTTGAACTAGAAGAGCTGGAAGCAGCAGCATTGCTGGTACAAGAGGAAGAGAGCATGTTAAGAGCTGCTGGCACAGTTTCCAAGCAACAGCTGCCTTCCTCAGAGTCAGAGACAAGTGACTCTGAAGAATCAAGCACTACTTCATCATCTGAGACAGAAGGCTCTGATTCAGATGAGAGAGAGTCCTCAACCAGTGAAGATGGGAAAATGAATTCTTCACAAGGCACACTTCAAGAGGAGAGGACAGCTCCACTTATTGACTGTAATGGATTAAGGCAGGGCACAAACACTTCGATGTTGGAGGTTAGTGATGAAAAATCAAAGGTTTCTTTGCAGTCTTCATCTGTTCCTGGTAAATTGATAGAAGAATTAGAAAAGCAAATGCACACTGCAATTAGACTTTCAGAACAGCCTGAAGGATTGGCTACTGCAAGCTGCCTTTTACAGGAACAGGAGCAAGAAGAACACCATGTTTCTGAACCTGACAGATTTTCAAAAGATACTACTGGGAAGGGGAACTTTTTGGAGGTGTCTTCAAAGACAAATCATTTGCTATTTCTTTGCAGCACAAATGAAGATGAAGACTAAAGGGCCGTGTTAGAACACAATGTGACCCACTAGCAGCACAGTTCATTGCTATAATAAGGTGTTTCCAAGGCTATCCTGAAGCTGATACTTTTCTGCTTTGTTGTGTTGACAATTTGGAGGACAAGACAGCTTTATAAACAATTGATATGACTGTAATAGCCTCACAGGTTTTTATTTTTCTGCTCTGATTCAGAGTCTCAGATTTGATCAGTTATGTGTGAGAACATGTAACTTCAGTCAACTTCTAGAAACATTTTTCATTAAGCTTATTCAGTAGTAGAATGATACCCAAATCAAATACAACTGGAATGAGTTGTAGCATCATTTTAGTTATCTTTAGCTGTTGGGATTTCCCTGAAAAATATCCTCATTATGTTTATAGAAACTTGTTTGTGACAACTTGCTGCATTTTCTAAATTTTCAAATGCTTTATAGCTAGCCACTTGAAAAATATTTGTTATGAATTTAGAAGTCTAAATAGTGCTGACAAATTATTTTTAAATGTATAAATTATACATTTTTTGGTACAAAATAAATAAAATTGATTTATCATAAATGCATTGCTTTTATTTCTACAAGATACAAGGATTGTAACTTATATTCCTGCAGTTCTTAAGTTATTTCAATAGTTTTGTCATGTATTTATTCTTCTGTGCTGTTTTCGAAATGTTTCCACATGTGGACACTACTGTTGCTCTTTAAAGAACAGAAATTCAAATTATCTTTTATTTCTTTCTGCATATCCTTTTAATATTGCCACAGTAATATTAAGCAGAACAATGAAACATGGTACAGTGGTCTTAAATGTAGGACTGAAAACAAACCTGTGCTGTCTACACCTTACTATTACCTTTGTAGCTTTGCCCAACACATGTTCCTTTTTGTCTTTATGATGTTAAAACAATCCAATTAGTCAATATATTTTATGCTAATTTCTGTTAACTCTAGATACATTATTGAAATCAAGTGGCTACTGCAAATTCTGTGCTGCTCCTCAATCTCTGCCAAAGGATTTAGGAGAGAGGCAGAAAGTCTGCAAGACAGGGCCAGCTGATTCATGCCTCTGGAGGAGCAACCCATTACTTTTCAACCTTTTGACTATTAAAAAATTCTAAACGTACAGACTTAACTCTTCACCAATGCTACACCCTGCTGGAAATCAGCAGGCTTGCTTTGTTCCTCTGCTGACTCCTGTGCAGTTAAGAGCTGCAACCCTGAGCTGCCAATATTTTTTATGTTCTTAAATACCTACTGGTCGCTTATCAGTCTGTATTCTCTTCCCCAGGGGAGGAACCTTTCCCATCTTGCATGTCAGTGAGCACTTACTCTTCTGAATGCTAGCAATAAAATCTGCACTGTAGCTGCAATTATGCAGCTTATGTCAGAAGAAAAATGTGCTTAAGGAAAAAAAGGTAACCCTCTTCCCCTCTCCCCAAATTACAGGTGTGAACTCTGAAACTTCCTTCAGCTTAACATGAACTGGAGAAACCTAAATTAGAACAGGTTAGGAAATGCACATTGTGAAAATTGAGAGGTATTTGTAATATCCTGTGTCTTCAGCTCTTTTTTTCTAAACACCACCCCCTTTCCATTCTCCTGTTTTGTGGCAGACTGAGGAGAATGTTCCTCTTTTCCCAACAGACCTGTTTACTTTCAGGGACTGTCTGTCTCTTCTGAAGTGAGGACATCTTCAGTTAATGTTCATGTCCTGACTCTTCTGCAGCAGATTGTCCTTGGAACAGCACCCGCCTCCCTACCCAGACCCAGGTGAAGTCAAGGTCTCATTCCCAGACCAGCATCATCTCAGAGATGTTTTCGAGATGTCCTTACAGAAAGCTGATCTCCCTGGGTAAGTGAGTGGCAGCAGCCTGGCCTCATGCCCGAGGCCCTGGGGGTGTCTGTTCTCTATCCTGGCTGCTGCTGGAAGTGCCGCTCCTGCCAAGGATAGCGGGAGAGGGATCTGCAGGCCCTGTTTGTGCTCCCAGTGGCATGTGCCAGCCCTGCTGTCTTGAGCTGCCCGAGTGTAACAGAGCCCTGGAAAATGAGAAGGAAAGCAAATCCAGTGCTCTCAGGCCCTGGCTCTGCTGCTTGGCTGGCTTGAGGGGCAGCATGATGTGTGTGTGGAAGGAGGGAGTCCCTCACATCCAGGAGTTGGCTCTGCAAGAATGGAGATGCAGTTATGTTAGACAAGGAGACACTTGTTCGTGTAGTACTTCAAGGTGTTAAAAGCAACAAGTTAAATACTCATAAAAGCTTTTATTTTTCCTCTTGTTTTTTTTTTTTTTTTTATGGGAAGAGTGTGACCCACAGGACATTGCCACCTCTTCCTTTCTTTCCCCAAAGCAAAAATAGTGCTGAATGAATTCAATAAACGTTTATCCCCTAGCTTTTCTTAATTGCAGACACCTTTCTGAAAAGTTTGTAAAAGGCTTTGCTCTATATCAAAAGGAGAAAGCATTGCTTAAACTTGATTTACTACAGTAAATGATAAATATGGCAAAGAGATTGATTCACAGCACTGGAGTGAGGGGGCCAGGCAACCCTCTGCCGTTGACACAGCTGAATATTGTCAAAGCCTGAGCCGACTGTCTCAAGGCTGGAGAAAACAAACAGGGAAACACATGTCAAACAGATAAATAGCTCTGCTGTTTAGAGCTCTCCACGGGAGGCCATTTGTCTCCAAGATAAGGAAGAATGCACTCCAGAGCTGTGAGAAGATAAGCTGGGAGAACAAAATGAATATGGAACTGCTGTGGTCAGACTTGGGTGTTTACACAGGGAGCAAATACGGTGCCCCTGCCCTGGGGGTCTCTGCAGGGAGCAGGGTGTAGCACCCAGGGAAATGTCTGATGTGAACCTGCAGTGCAGACTTTTAAATATTTCAGCAGTGGATGGTATTTACAATGTTACAGCATGCAGACAAATGGCATCAGTGTCAGTTGTCTTAGCAAGTCATGGATCTGTTTCTTTCCTTGGTGTTAAGTGGGCTGCAGCCTGTGGTTACGTGGGCATGTGTGAGGCATGAGTTTGCATTGACACAATAAATGAGTTTGTACTATTGTGGTACCCATAAATCATACTATTTTTGTATTCTTAGGTTTTGGAGAAGAGACAGTGCCATTTCCACAAATGCTGCATTTTGAGACCTGACTTAGATAATATCTGGAATGTGTTTGGTGCTGTCAGTTTGCATTTCAGTAGAAGTTTTCTTATATTCAAAAGCTGCAACACAATTGAGCACAGTGGGCAGCATTTTGGAGGATGCTTGAGGACAAGAACAAAAGCTGTGTCCCTTAGGTGAGGATTAAGATGTTGGCAGAGCTCCTTGAAGGAGGACAGCTCTAACCCCAGAAGATGGTAATTTCTGTGGGAGAAGCTTTCTTTAGTTGGGTAGTGCTGGTTAGTGGTTAAAGAACAGAAAGTCAGGTTTTTAGGCTAGCAGAGTCAGCTAGGTGGTATTCTTACTAACTGGTAACCCTAGGAGCTCAGTGACCAGTTCTTCACTTGGCTGTTGATGTTCTGAGTGACTTTGCAACTCATTTTCCCTGGTTTCACAGAGGTACTAGGCCTGACTCAGGAAGGTCCAGACTTGGGAAAGGTAGCACAGAAAAGGAATAAAGCTCCAATTTGATAGTGGAGACCTCTTTCTCTGCCCCTGGCTTGTGCTGAGCAAGGATGGGAGGCTGAAGTCTACAGTTTCTGAGGTATTCCTAGGTATTTTTCAGTGTATCAGTAGCTGACTTGAGACCATTGGTGCCTTGGGAGCTGCAATTCTCACCCACACCAGCAGGAGTCACTGCTCCTCTAAACCCCTCAAAATTAGACAAACCTGTTCGAAATTAGATTCCAAAACCTCATTTAAAAAAACCAAAAAAACCCAAAAGGATGTGTCTGAAGGCTCTTGGTTCCAGTGTGCATTGATACCTCTGTGAAACAGACCTCTTGGCCCCTTGCCCAGGGGCCTCTGTGAGGCCTCCTCAGCACATGAGCAGTACTTTGGTGGTTGTCTTCTGCAAAGCTCCTGTTCCTGGGTGATCCCAGGGTGTAGCTTTGCTTCGAGTCAATAAACCTGGAGAAAACCCACTCTGTGGGCACAAGGCTTTCTAGCACTGGAAGCAGATCCCTGGTGTTTCCTCTTGGCCTGCAGAGTACCTTCTTTGAAGAAGCCAGGAATTGAAGAGCCTCTCTTGTTCTCTTCAGTCACCTGGCTTGCACGGCTCTTTTGTGTGCACAGCCCCACTTTCAATGCAGACCCCTCTTCTCCTTGAGGTCCCATCCCTGTGCATGGCCTGTTCACAACACTTGCCTGCAGCACAACTGCTCTTTATCCCAATATTTTTGACTTTGTGCCTCTGTTCTGCCACTTTGCTATGGTGAGACCACACCTCTCCTGCCTTCTGTGCAGTGGGAGCTGCAAGGGGTGGAGTGATGGAGAGAAGATGCTGGGCAGGGAGCAGGGAGCCAGTGTTGACCTTAAACAAAGCTGTGCCTGGGGAGCAGTGGGAGGAAAAAGTTCAGCAGCTGCTTTTGTTAGAAGACAGCAGCAGTGTGTGCTTGGCCTCTGCCATGCAAGCCGTGGCTTCTCATGAAGGGCTCCTGCTTGCAGCAAGCATCTTGCAACCTTCACTTGTGCTTTTTGGTCTGGAGCCTGGGGTAGGGTGAATGGCAGTAAACATAATTTTCTCTAATTATGGATGTGTGAGAGATTTGGGAATATAACTCATAAATGGTAATGAGATGTTTAAGGCATAAATAATCTGCATATCAAGATGAGAACAAACTCCCCTCACCCACACTCCAACATTCTGGGCTGTGACCTGACTGTGGCACCCTACCTGCCAGGGCTATAATTATGTTTTGTCTCATGTCCACAATTTTTGGCAATTATGCAGAAATATCCCATTTCCTGCGGTAAATAAATTGGGATTTGTGTTTTGCCTTGATGTAACTCCTCCTCCTCTAATATGCTGCATTGTCCATTGATTTGCCTAATTATGTGT